GGGGCTCCTGAATAAGTGGCAGAAATTCAAATACTTGAGCCATTGTCTGCAGCCTCATAGGTACATTAGCAGGAAGATGCATAGAAAATGGAAGTGGGACTTGATCCCGGGCACTCTGATATGACATATGGGCATCCTAAGTGAGATTTAACCTGATATATAATTTTAATTATTTTTATTATTTTCCATGAGACAGTTTTATAACTGTAGGGGTTTCCCCCTTTCCCTCCTCTTTCTCCCTTCCTATTTTCCCCCATATTGTTACAATAGTATAGTCCTTCAGCAACAGTTACAAATTTAACATTCTTCCATTTAAGTTTAAATTATACTAATACAGGATCTTTATCTTAATAGTGTAAAAATTTTAAAGTTCTATGACAGACAAAATTGCAGTTTGGGATTCTGAAGACTGGAGATGCAGATAGAGAGGAGGAAGGGCGAGGAAAGGAAGGAAGAAGCACTCATAAATAAAAGTCATAAAATGGCACTCCCAAGATATGTTTAGTTTTGCCTTCAGAGTACTGACCACTACTGTGTGTGTGTGTGTGTGTGTGTGTGTGTGTGTGTGTGTGTGTGTGTGTGTGTGTGTGTGTCCTGACATTGTAGCTATGGACAATGGCAGAGTCCAGCATCCTATTGTCAAGATATATTTAACAGCCTCATTGGGAGTCCATCTTTGGTTTAGAAGTAGAACTGCATATTGTACTGTGTCTTCACACCTGGATATGATAGTCTCTACTACACAACTACTATGTATCTCTTTAAATAAAAAGCCACAAAACAAAATTGACCTTTATGTACACATAGGTCATTCTGACCAATTTTTAATGCAGAAGACTTCACATAAAAATCTCCATTTCTGACTATTCTCAAAAACCAAAAAGTAAACAACAGAAACCTATTTAGCACCCCTAGGTCTGCATTTCTATGTGAAAATAATTGCCTAGAGATGACAGTTAACTGAATCCTGGATAGCACATTCACTTCTGTTCATCATCAGTGTGTCCTAAGAGCCAAAGTCAAGAGCAATTACCATGTATCATTACACTTGCCCTGACTTGTGTTTATATCCAGAAAGCTTTATTTCCACATGTTATTTAATGTTACTTAATGATTGTGAGGGTATTTGAGTTTGGAACTTGTGGTTTTCACTTGACCCAGTCCTTCACACCCAAAGAGCACTGAGCATCTTTAACTTGAAAACTCCACCACATGTATGTGGTCCCTAAGCCAAAGGGAAGTTAAGTGTTCCCAGGCACTTGCCTTCAAGTAACGTTTAGAATGTTTCCTTCTCCAAGATGGCATCCAAGAAAATGGGAAGTATCTTCACCAAATAGTGCTCTAACTCCAATCCCCACTCTTATTTCCAGGCTAAGAACCTTTGGTGTTGTTTGACCCCTTCCTCTTGGATATTAGAGCCTTACTTGAAACCCAATCAACCACGAATCAGAGATACCAACTTGCCAGTCCTGGCCACTTGCACTCTCTCCTGGACACTAAGCCACTTCATACTGAGCCCAAGAGATCCTTCTTTAAATCTTTATAACATCAATGCCCAAGGTGGCAACCAAATTGCCACTGAACCCTTAAAACGTGGCACAGATGGAATTTCAAGGCTTCATATGAAAAAAAGCATATAAACTATAGTATTAGCAATATATTGGTCATGCATTTATATGACAATGTTTTAGGTTTTGGGAACCATATATTACAAAAATTAATTTTACCTGCTTCCATTAACCTTTTTTAATGTGGCTACAAGAAAAAATAAAATGACATATATACCTTGTATCCTAGTTCTGTAACACTTTCTTTAGTACACAAAGAACATTGCTGTCTGAAGAATTTGGTGGCTCCCTACTCTCCCTCAAGTGTAAGCAAGGTTTATAGACAACCCTACAGGGGTTATAGCTCTGTCCCACTTCCTGAAAGACATGTAGCCATTTTCAAAGGAAAATTAAATATTCCAGGGATAAAAATAAGCAAGCCACAGGCTTTACACAAGATTTAGCCCATTGACAGCAATTTGAAGCACAAACATTTTTAACAATCTGAAAATTGAAGCAGTCATTTGCACTAATGCAGCAAGTCTTAGAAAATAAAATGTTGCTATAAAAGTCAACTGGCCTGGCCTGCTGTCATGAGTCACCATGGCTTGCTTGCTGTCCAGTGGTAACCAGAAACAGACGAACAAGTCAGAGGCCTTGCTGTTTAAAGGTGCTCTCTGGAGCACCACCAGCAAGCTCCCCTGAGAGCTCGGGATATTCTTTGGTCCTACCCAAAATCCATGTGTGAAAGATGCTGTTAAAATGCAGGAAGATGCTGCATTTGAACCACAATAGTCTCATGTGATTCACATAGCCATTAAAGTTTGAGAACCACCTGAAGTTTAAACTTCTAATCATATTTATTTGCTTGTAAATAAATAATAGCAGGGGCACAGTGCGGTGGTCTAGTGGCTAAAGCCCTCGCCTTGAATGCACTGGAATCCCATATGAGCACCAGTTCTAATCCCAGCAGCTCCACTTCCCATCCAGTTCCCTGCTTGTGGCCTGGAGTACAGCCCAAAACCTTGGGACTCTGTACCTGTGTGGAAGACCTGGAGGAAGTTCCTGGCTCCTGGTTTTGGATCAGCATAGAATCGGCCATTGTGCTCACTTGGGGAATGAATCATCGGACAAAAGATTTTCCTTTGTCTCTCCTCCTCTCTGTATATCTGACTTTGTAATAAATAAATAGATAGGTAGACAGACAGACAGATAGACAGACAGATAAGTGGCAGAACTGCCTGAGTAACAATTCTGAAATTTGCCCCACTGGGGATCTTCCTGTTTTCCTTTGGGGGGGGGGCATTATAGTGAATAATACAGAAGATTTTCAAGTAAATCAGTGGCTTCAGGTGGTTCTTGGTTGAGAGCCCTATACCAAGGTTATGAAAACTCAGATATTTCTCTTAGAAGTTTCCAACTTAGGAATTTCCTGGGAGGGAAATAATTTTCTGTAAAAGGGGCCACTGTCTGTGTATCTACCACACTACCCCAGGCATATCAAAATAAGAGTACAAATTGCTGAAGCAAACTATGTTTTAGAATGTGACATCCAAAACGTAAAAAGAAACTTTTGCACCAAAACTGAGAAAAACAAATTAAAGTCACATACTTTTCATATTAGCTAAAATTATTCTACTGCCAAAAAAACTCATAAATTTATTTAAAAAAACACTATCATTTCTTAATTGTTCTTGTTTTCTTCACAGAGCTTATAATGTCACCACTATGCTCAGCTGTTAAGTCTACCCCTGTGCATTTACCCAGATCAGGGTGCAATGGAAAAAATACAATGGAAGCACTGACTATTTTGAAATGAAGCATTATTTCCCCAGTGAAATATTTGCAAGACAACCTTGAGATTCAGCTAGAAAACATCAACTTCACAGAAAATTCTCCAAAGTACCCAAAGGCAATAAAAACAACCAAATGTAGGCAAATATACCTAGATAAATAGCATTTGAAAGCAAACATTATTACAAGACCTACACTGTATCACTACATAATACCAACTGCTTAAACAATCACACGCTTTGTTATGCATTGCCTTTAAGTTCAATGTGTATCGATTATCTGCCCCCAAGACACTCATATTGCTATCTGATTGACTTCATGGAATACTAATCATACTTGGATATTTTGCTTCATGACATTTGTGCAATGAAAATTCATATACAAAAAGATTGGACAGATTCACATTTATAATTTAAGGAAAAAACTTCAGCTAATAACAAGAGGAAATGCAAATTTCAAAAAACAGGTACCACCTCACATCCAATAGTATGGCTATTACAAAAAAAAAAAAACAGGAGACACTAAATATCAGTGAGGACATGGAGAAAAGGAGGGAACACTAATACACTGTGAGACATAAATGGCTACAGCCATTATGAAAAGTAGGATGAAGGATCCTCTAAAAATTAAAAAGAAAACTACAATATCATTCAACTACCTCACTACTTGTAATATATACCCAAAGGAAACAAAACTAGGATCTTGAATAGACATCGACACATCCATGTTCTTTGTAGCATCTGTCCTCATAAGGAAAGCTACCTAACCAATCTAAATGCCCACAGTGGATGAATGGATGAAGAAAATATGGATACATGTTCATAGTGAAAGATTATTTGGCTATAAAAGAAAGAAATCTTGCTATTTATGGCAACATAGATGTTCTGCTACATGAAGTCAGACACAGAAGGACAAATACTGCATCATCTAGCTTAAATGTGAATTTTTTTTAAAAGTTGAACTCAGTGAAGCAGAGAGTAGAACTGTAACTGCCCAGTGCTGAAGAGGAAGTATGAAGAAACACTAGTCCAAAAGTACAAACTTTCACTTAGAAAATGAATAAAATCTAGGGCTCTGTAGCTTGATGACTATACTTACTAATAATGTGTTACACACTTGAAATTTGCCATGTCTTTACTTTCCTCACCACCTGCACATTCAAAATGGTGAATAAGTGTGAAGATGAAGGTGTTAAAGAAATTGCTGCGATAATTTCACAAAGTATATCAAATCATCATATGGCACATTTTTGAATCTGGTACAGTTGTCATATGTCAAAGGTACCTCAAGAAAGGTAGAATTAAAAACACATTTCTTAGAAGAATGTGGAGCAGAACCCATTACTATGGCAATGAACCTTTGTTTTAATTCATGACCTTCAATCTCACATACACTTCCACATAGTTTAGTCACACTCTCACAGCCCTGGACAGTGGCTTCACACCACCTCCCCTTTCCTGCAACCTTCAATATCTGCTCATCAAGCCTAACTCTCATTTGAAGGCCTTTCCTTCTACTTTTTCTGAGAAATTTAAAGAATTCAAAGAGAATTCCTATACACCTCTGCTACCTAGAAGGTTGCCATGGAGCTGCTGGTTTGATCATATCCCTGCTAGGTGGGTCAACACCAGGCTTCAGCATCTGTGGAGTGCCACTTACCATTCCCTTCTTGTCTTCCTGGAAGTGCACATCCACAAACATCTTCCCTACAACATAAGGCAGGGCACTTTCGATAAAGTTTACGCATTTGTCCCACTGAGGCAGCAAAGTTGTAGTCCCCTGGATTACCTGTGGGAGATAATTGATCCAGCTTGAGCTTCATTCAAATAAAATCCACCACTAAAAAGATCCAAAATAGTCTACAAAGCACTGTACACCCAACCCACATAACATGTCAGGCAGAGGCAACATTGAACCAGCTGAAGAGAAAAGCTCGCCTTCTCCCCAACTGTATTTAAAACCTGACGAAAAAAACAATTGGCAATGAAAATATCAATTATGTTCCAAATTTTCCCATTAAAACAAGGATCTAGATACTGTTGGTTTTTTGATGTCAGCAGGGATAGAAGAAGATATGTCACCAAGGCCTGGGAGAGCATTTAATGTCTGTTGAAGGGGGAAAAAGTATTTAATGCCTACTGAGAACTGGAGTTCCACTATGAAAGATCTAGAATCAATGGCTGATTGATTGAAAGATCCTGACCAGAAGGCTTTCCTTTCTCTATGTACTACACTCAATGTGGCCAACTGGGAGAACACAACTTACCAGAAATAACCCAGGCAGCATATTTACATTGTATCATAGCAAAGAACACATTGGTAAACAAGCAAAATATTGATGTAAACATGTTTCCATCTGTCCCAATTATATCATTACAAGAAAATATTTATAAACAAGGAGAGAGCTTCTAAAGCCGGACCTAGAAGGCTCAAAGGTTTTTCCACAAGAATGAAATAGAGAAATACGTGGCCCTGGGAGATTCAAGGTGTAGGCAATGAGAGAGGGATGGTGGCTGGAAGTGCTCCGTAACAATGTGAAACTCTGCTTGTCCAAGCAAGGTGAACCAGATGAATAGTTAAATGCATCTCTCCTTCCTCTGCTTTCTGGTGACTTGACCCCTCACAGACGTAAAAGATGGATCTATTTTTAAAACCTCTACAGAAAAAGATCCCAGAACATTCTTTGGCAAGTGCAATATTATATTTAGCACTTCCTGCTCAAGAATGCATCCCCTTATACCTAAGCTCAAATTTTCACACACTACTTCTTACACCTTTCTGGCCCCCCTCTCTCTTCTGCTCTTCGCAGTAGGGGTGCAAAGCAGCTGGGTGCCATTTTTATGTGAGCCACAGGAGTTAAAAATACACACACAAATCTACTTGTTTTTATCTTAACCCTTTGATATGACCTAAATATGCAGTTCGTTTTATGCTCTTCTCTATAAAGTAGCTGTATATTCTAGTAACTTTAGAGGGTCAAAATGTAGCCAAAATAATCCAAGGGTATTGGCTTACCAAGAATCTATGTACTTACTAGTTTCCTTAATAACCAAAACCTCCATTAAATGAACTAACAACTAATAAGATTCAACATTCACTTTAAATTGTTAGAAAAAAATAAATTTTGAAATATTATTTGGGGACTCAACAGGCTAATACTCCTCCCTATGACACCAGCATGCCATATGGGTGCTGATTTATGCCCCACTTCCAGACCAACTGCTCCACTTCTAAACTAGCTCTCAGTTTATGGACTGGGAAAGCAATAAAGGATGGTCCAAGTTCTTGGGACCCTGCACCGTTTTGGAGACCCAGAAGAAGATCTTCGTTCCTGGCTTTGGGTCAGTTGTTCAGCTTTGGCCAGCGTGTCCATTTGAGGACTGAATCAGAGGATAGAAGCTCGCTCTTTCTCTCTCTCTGTAAATTTATCTTTCAACTAAAAATAAATATTTTTAAAAAGAAATATTATTGAAAAGCCACAAGATCTATAAGTTCTCTAGTGCTGGGAGAATGGTTCAGACCTAAAGCTCAGAAACAAAAATGAGAGAAATGTCTGTGGAAATTAGGAGTTGAATTATATGAAAGCAAAGACTCAGGGTCTAAGGGAGTGGGACAAGCATAGGGATGGAAACAATTGAAAGAGATTGAGAGGAGATAGATTTGGGATTCTTGGGCCTGGGTGAATTAACGCAGATTCAAAGATGAGATGTTTGTGTAGTTCACTTGAAAACTCTATCCCCAAAATAAAGCTAAAACTTTATCACCTAATACATATAGCATGCCTATCTTCAATAATCAGAATATTGGGGGGAAAGGTAGTTATAGTACAATAGGTCACTGAAACATACTCCTGTGGCTCCAGACTTTGTACCCTTTGATCAACATCCCCCCTTTCCCCATCCACCCCAACCACCTTTTTTTTCCTTAAAGATGTATTTATTTTAATTGGAAAGGCAGATCAAATTTACAGAGACAAGGTGAGACAAAGATCTTTCATCTGCTGGTTCACTCTCCAAATGGCCACAATGGCCGGAGCTGAGCCAATCTGAAGCTAAGAACTGAGAGCTTCTTCCAGGACTCCTATACAGATGTAGAGGCCCAAGGTTTTGGGCCATCCTCCATTGCTTTCCTAACACTTTGCCTTACGTCATCACCTTTCTGTTGTCTGTTTCTGTTTCTTTTCATATTTCATATAAGTGAAATCATATGAGTCATATTTATGTTCCTGATTACCAAAGTGAACAATACTGTATCATATATGTCAAAATTACTGGAAATTGATGTTTTACCTTCTCCCCCCACAAAATGAGCCTTGTAAGGTAATGGATATGTAAATGAACTTGATGCATTCTATACTGCATGTAGGCCAAAACATCACATTATGCCTCACAAACATATAAAATCATTCTGTTACCCAAACATAAAATATAAACAAAAACACGGTGACAAACATGTCAGTAAGAAATATGAAAACTATACTCATAATGACCCAATCAAAATCACTGGAAAAATAGGAATAAATGATAAGAACACAATGAAAATAATGTGACAGAGTGAAGTATTACCCTAAATATATTTATACACCCCAACAAAGCAGAACCTGAGTGCAGATGATTGTATTAAACTACACCTGGATAAGAAGAAAAACTGTCAAAGAAAAACAAAGCTGTAAAACTCCTACTATCCAATCCCTAAATATGATTTTTTATTCAATCAGTTAATATACACACTGTTCCAGCAAGTAAAGCTATCCAGTGAAGGAAATACTGTAATTTTACTCAACTTACCCGTGAGAATTCCAGCCACCTATACTGAAAACGCCGGCTGAGGTTTGGAATTCTGGAATAAACCATTCTCCATACCAAATAGTTGGCAACGGTTCTGTTAACAGAGAGAAAAGATCATTTATCATACTTCAGGCCTCTGATCATCTGCAGAATACCTTTGGGAAAACTCTTGGCAAAGAGCCAGGCAGAGATCTCTTGCTCACATGAAAACAATGCAGAACTTACTCTGGACAAATGACATAGGATGATTCAGTGGTAACAAGTGCAACCTACACTAGCTTACCTGTCACCACCTGCTATGCATAGGTGTAATGTAGATTCCAGCTCCAGGCCTTAGAATAAACATTTTTATTTCACTACTAAAAAATAGAATCTGTTGCTCACCCTTCCATATCTGAAAATTGTGAAACCCTTCAAAGTCTTAGGTAACTTGATAGTATACAGATGTATTATTTCCTTTGGAAAGTAACAACGAAATACTGGTTAGTACTGGTTGTTTATATTTGCATCCTGCTCCTACTCTTATTAAACATGTGAGTTTGGACAAATCACTTAAGCCCTCTGATTTATCTTTCCCAATATTACAATGAGGATAATCCCTACCTCATTACACAGGAAAGTTACGAGCTTTAAAGAAATCACAAAATGTTTGCCAGAGAATTCCTAGAATTTTTTTGTTGCTGTCATCTACTTCCAAAATATATAAACAACGCCATTTGTTCAAGTAATACTCATGATATTTTTAAGAATTTGCTAAATTTCATATAATGCCTTTTTCTATAAGTAAAAAATGCCCTGACCTCAAAAGGATATTTTATCTGAGTTAATTTCTAACATAATAGTGGTAATGAATTTTTAATGACCTTATGATCTTCCCAGTTGTGCCATTGCCATGGTGACTAATAACACACATTCCTGAACTGGCTTGTGGGTCAGCTAAAAATGTGAGAACAGTGGAACATGATGATGTTAACCAGCCCATTAAGAACAACTCACACTTTCATTGGCATGGTGCTCTGAGGCAACGGATATGCATCCTATGAACAACGTATTTTTCCACATATATGTACAGCATATGGATGCTTATTTTAATTCAAATAGACATATACTTATGTGCTAATATGAAAGAAACTAGAGAAATTAAAATTTTAAAAGATAAAACACAGTGAAGTATTTTCAAAAGACATTGACTGATCTTCAAACACTATTAGATTCCTTCTTTAAGATACATTATCTAGGTCCAGTGTGATAACCTAGTAGCTAAATCCTCACCTTGCGTATGCCAGGATCCCATACAGGCATCAGTTCCTGCCCCGGCTGCTCCACATCAGATCCAGCTCCCTAGCTGTGGCCGAGGAGAGCCCAAAGCCTAGGGATCCTGCACCTGCATGGGAGACCTAGAAGAAGCTCCTGGCTCCTGTCTTGGGACCAGCTCAGCTCTGGCCACTGTAGCCACTTAGGGAATGAATCAGCAGGTGTAAGATCTTTGTCTCTCCATCTTTCCCTCTCTCTGTAAATCTGCTTTTCCAATAAAAATAAGTAAATCTTTTAAAAAATATACATTATCCACATCAGATTAGGTTAATAAAGAACCATGGATATAAATCCACAATTCATATAGTTTTCTTTGCTGCTTCAGAAATTTTTTACATGCTATCAGATTCACTTAGACCAAGACTGTTTTTTCCTTGTCATAAGACTATCCAAGATAGCCAATCAGCAGCAAGGAAGGGCCACTTCCTCCAGTTTCTTCCCATCTACATATGCTTATGCCATCAGTAATAGCTTCAACTGTGATTTCCCTGCAAGAATTTTTTAAGCCACTTGCCCATGTTGTGAGAAGTAAGCCAGATAAACTAGGTCATAGAATTCACACATCTACAGGTATATACACAAATGGCTCAAGATTCCTTTTAATATAACAAGTCAAAAATAAACCCAAGAGGATGACACTATCTCCCATAATGTGTACCATATAGATCAAATAAAGGCCCATGACCACATATAATACAGAACTGAATAAAAGCTTAATTATTTTGAAATTTAAAAAAAAAATAGGGGTCTGAGAATTTCCTTATCAGGTCAAATGGACCTTGCTACAATATGCAAGGGACCCTATTCAACAAAGTCTAGCTTTATATCTATGCTCTGCTAAGGCCACTAGGATAAATTTATAGTTTTCAGCCATTCACCCAAAGCCTTTATGTTCATGTTTCTACTCTTAAAAAAGTCAAGAAGTGCTTACTAAATATTTACTATTGACCAAATATTGTGCCAGAGGCCATACAGAATACAAACAATTATGAAATCAGGACATACATTTCAGAAAACATTCTACTGAGGGACACAGGACTTCAGATTTCAGCATATTCCTATAACTCTGAGTATTGAAAGGACAGATTGTAAATACAAAGGGAGGGGTTCCTCTCTCACTCACTCAACACATCCTGAATATCCAGACATGTACTAATAGTTCTAGGAGCTGGGAAGATGAAAAGGTGAGAAAAATCAAATCTCTGACCACCTGAAGCTTTAAATTAAGCAGAAGCAATGAAATAAGTGTATACTTCACTATGTGGCAGATCCTGGCCTTGAAAAATGAGTGCCAGAAATTTCTTAAAAGGACAGCAGGCTTCCAAAAGGTAGACTTTGTGAGAAGAACAAGGCTTGAGCTAGGCCTGAAGGTTAGAAGAGTTTGGTTTAGGAGCTAGTACTGTGTTATAAAAGATAAAACTGCTGCCTACAAAACAGCATCCCATATAGGAGTCAGTTGGTGTCCTGTCTGCTCCACTTCTGATCCAGCTGCCTGTTCATGGACCTGGGAAAGCAGCAGAGGACTGCCCAAGTGCTTGGGCACCTGCATCCTTGTGGGAGACCCTGAAAAACTCCTGGCTTCAGCCCAGTCCTGGTTGTGTGGCCATCTGGAGAGTGAACCAGCAGATGAAGACTGTTTTCTCCTTTTCTCTGTCCCTTGTAGCTCTGCCTTTCAAGTAAATAAATAGATCTTTGAAAAGCAGAAAACTGGGGCCCGGCGTGGTGGCGCAAGTGGTTAAAGGTCCTCGCCTTGCATGCCCGGGATCCCATATGGGTGGCGGTTCTAATCCCGGCAGCCCCGCTTCCCTTCCAGCTCCCTGCCTGTGGCCCGGGAAAGCAGTCGAGGACGGCCCAAAGCTTTGGGAACCTGCACCTGCGTGGGAGACCCAGAAGAGGCTCCTGGCTTCGGATCGGCATAGTATCGGCCCGTTGCGCTCACTTGGGGAGTGAATCATGGGACGGAAGATCTTCCTCTCTGTATATCCGCCTTTCCAATGAAAAAAATAATAATAATAAAAAAAAAAGAAAAGCATAAAACTGACAATAGTAGTGGCAGCTTTGGAGAAGGGAGCAGGAAAATGAAACCTGGACAGGCTAAAGAATAAAGCAAAGGGCCTTTGCTTCCAGGGGAGGCAAGGAACAGGATCATCACTCAATGAAATAGGTGGGAAGGCTGGCCACACTAGACACATCAACAGCAATTAAGTTCTGGACCTTAGCATGTGCGTGGGATGAATTTTGACTCTAATCCAAAACACTGTTCTATGGTCAAGCTGTGCTGGATCCAGAGGTGCAAATGAATAGGAACTAAACCTCCAACAGGTATGAGTCTACAAATTCCAAGACACTACCTCAAAGGGTGTTGATGAGCCACATCAAGCAGGAAGTTAGGATGGGATGGGATGAAGATGGTAGAAAACAGAATGTGGCAGATTTACACTACAGATTTAGGAGCAGAGGGCTTTCTGGATTCCCTAAAATCCTTCCACATTAGCTATGATCCTCATAGCACTGCTATAGTACAGATGATATTGTACCCATTTTATGTTTAAAGAAACATGAGGCTCAAAACGTTAAGTAATCCCTCATCACATCAAGTAGAATCACTTGTGGAGTTTTTAGACATTTAAGTGCCCTAACCAACAGAATTGCAATCATTAGGACGAGATTTAATATAAATCTTGGTTTTAAATCTATCCCTACTTAGTCCAATTCATGGTCAAATCAGACAAGCACTACAGTAAGCCAGGGAGGCTAGGCCAGAGGCTGGCATGTCTGACTCTAAAACTGTTGCACACATGGATGGATGAGAACCTTAAATTCAGCTACGTCTTCCTAACCAATCATGGTGATTCCAAAACACTATAACAAAAGGTAATTTGCAGAAATCAATAGATTATAAACAGAATAGTTGGGCTTTCTTGGCCAGAAGATGGAATGCTAGGAAACCTACATGGGGTGACAACGGCACAAACAACATGCTGCAATGTATTACAAACAGGCTGACAGAATGCTAGGGAACACAGCTTGACACTACTAATATCACCATGCCAAGAAGGACTATGACCATATGAGTGAATCACAGCTAATGATCAGATACATTTGAAAAAAATCCAATTCAGCAATAGTCCTGCAAAATAACACATTCTAATTCTCATTCTCTCGCTCTCTCTTTCTCTTCTCTCTCTCTTCCTCTCTCTCTTTCTGATCCCCAAAAGCATTTTCAGCAGTATGGTAATTTCCCATAAAACAGAGCAAGAGAGCCCAACACTAAAGCATAACAAGAAATCCTTTTCCTAAAGTCCCTGACTTGGAAGTTTTTGCTGACTCATGCTCTCAAAGATTAGCTGTTTCCATGTGCATTACCTATGAAAGATCATGAAATATCTTATTTCATTCTCATGATAGCACCGTGAGGGCAGTTATTGCTATTCCCATCTTCAGATGAAGAAAAAATTCAAGAGGCCAAGGAATTTCCAAGGTTGCGTGAGAACCAGAAATAACTTTTGAGTCTTCATATTCTATTACTTGAACTTGTTGCTCTCAGGTATTCTGCCTGTGGTGAGCCACAAAGATTCTCCTCAATGGTTCTCAAAGCCAAAGTGAACTTCCCCAATCCCGCAGGCTGCCAGGAACGCCCAAAGCAGTGCTTTCCACAATGTGTCCCTGGGTCAGCAGTGTTAGTATCACCTTCAAACATGCTAGGGAGTGCCTGGGCCTTACCTCCACATTCAGAGGAGGAGCCCTGACCGAGTAGCCTGTATTCCCAGAAGCCCTCCA